GTTTTCAGTCAACTTGTCATTGCAACGTTCTAGGGAAGTTTTGGGTTAGAGGGATATCTTGTTCATATTTGTTTCTTCCTTGCTTATTAGCTATCTCAATCTCATTTTTAATCTGTACTTTCTCCTCACTAAAATTTATACAGTTAATCTCTCCAATTTACATTCCCTAGAAAATTGAATGAAAACTTTGACCTTTGTAATCTTTTTTTAATTCTGGGGATTTTGTTGAGTTCTTCCTAATAAAGAAATCTCGAGTATGGATCTTTATTGTGGCTTCTATTATAAGTCTTATCTCATTCATGTGGCTGTCTGTCTTTGTGACTTTGGTTTTTGCTCATGGGAGGAGTAATCAGACATGCTTCTGAAAATTTTGGTTTAGATTAGCTTTGGCACGATTATGGACACTTCTCTATTGAGCTTAAATGTTGCGGATTCTTTGATTGCTTAAAACTTTTCCACTCGAAATCCAACATAAAGTTCAGGAAGTTCTCACGTCATATGTGTATATATTTGTTACTACCATGCTGATGTAGACACACTTTGTCTTTGGGCAAGTCTCTATTCCACGAAAGTGGTTGGTTTACTGGTTTTGCATCAATAAATGTTTTATGGTCTAAAAGGCCATAGCAACGCGTTTTTCTGATTTCTTGTTTCTGCTTATCATTTTGATTATTTGTTTTCTTACTATTTCATGAGAGTATTTGACATATAGCACTTGTATTTTGATTTTGCACGCATTCAAGAGTTTGAAGCTGATCATATGTGGCCATAATTGTTCTCTTACCATGCTCCCCCCATGTTTCACTTGCTCTGATCGATCAGAATCAAGAGTTGAATGGAACGTTCCCTCATTTTTCTGGAACTAGTGGAATATGGTTTTTATATCTGCCAGATTAGTTGCGAACTTGGAAGGAATAGAATTACAGAACCTGGGATTCCTTGATGGAGAAAATATGAATCTCTCGTTACTTATTTGATTAGATAAAGGTTGTATTTAGTCCACTAATGAATACTACGTTTAAAAGGAATATTGAATAAAAGTCATATATTGTTGTTAATCATTCTAATGAATAGAAGAAATTTTAAATCTTGTGGTTGTTGGAAATAGTTTGGAGGATCAGTTGGATTAATATAATTTTATTGCAAATATCTGCAGATTGTTTCCTTGTGCTACTAGCCACACTGAGTTTGGAGAAATTGCTTTTAGACAATTTGAGTGGAAAAGTCTGAACAGGATCTTTAATTTCTTTTGTGACCGAGTTGTGTGCAAATTGCAGTAAGTTTCTGGATACACTAAAGACGAGAGTGAAAGATTGGAAGTTTGATCCTTGGAAGCATCATCTATGCAATTGTCTATTTTCTCTTTATAAAGTTAATATTTCAATAATATGATATATCATAGTGAACATGGCCTCACTGCAATGTTTAAAAAAGAGAGTTCCTTAGAATTCTGCACATATCAAACATCATAGTGACATACTTCTTGTTCTTGGGATGGGCTTGTTATCTTACAGAATGATCAGAAAATATGGCCTATCAGCTTTGTGCTTGTGTCATGTTATGGTGCAAAATTATAATTTTAAAATTTGTTCAACTTCCAGGGCCTGGGTGTTCCAAGATGGCCTTATGATCCCTACAATGTGCCTGGACAGAACTTGAAAACAAGGATGCTACTTGTACCTTTGCCTTCATATACAGTAAATTGTTGTTTCTAATACAGTTCTAATGCCAGCAACCATCTAAATTAACATGCAGGGGTTACTGGCACTGTACAAGAGAAAAAGAAAAATTCTAAAAGGGTAATATCATATGAACCTAACCCTGTCAAAGAAGAACTAAAGATGCAAGAGAGGGACAGATTGCATATTTGTCAATGTTTCCTGGGAAATCCCTAGTTTAAGGGAAATTCCCTGTAATGATTGTTAGAGAAGCCTGCTTCGTTCATCACAATCTCAGTTATTAAATCCTTGAAGATCTGTCGCTCAACATCCAACACTATGCCTGGAACATTATTTTGATAATCTCCCCTGTAGCTTGAGGGATGCATTAAATCTTTCCAAATCATGTTTCTTGAGGCATCATCATAGTCATTGAGACAGCCATTTTGGTTGCTATCTTGCAGTTGATCAATCTGTGAGCATAATTCTTTCAGAATCTTTTGTCCTCTTGACTCTGTTCCTGCTGTATTACTTGTTGTGAGCCAATGCTTGGACGAACGTTCAACTGCTAGTTTATCCAATAGAATTTCGTTGACAGTATCAAATACAAGTTTCCTCTGTACTTTATTGCGAGCTTCTGATCTGGCATTCTGTTTATAGTATGAATCACCATTAAAAGGCCACATGACTGCCTTGGCTTGCTCTAGTGCAAGAAATAGGTTGGGGTCGATCATGTGTCCTGGTGAGTGGAGCTGAACAGCGGAAAGGCCATGGTCAAGATCTTTGAGGAGACCTGATTCTGATAGTATTTGCCAAATATATTTGTGCTGAGAATTCATTTCTTGGCAGAGATGATTCTGGCAATCACTCGAGAGCTCCTCACACTCATTACTGAAGTTCACTTGTCGAATATGCTTCCTCAAGTTGTCGATCTCTGATTTCAAGATCTTAATCTCAGTGCCGAGGATCTCTCTGCTTTTCTGTGATTGAACTGGAACCTCTTGACTCGAATCTGCTTCTGAATTTATGGTCTCGTCATCTATACCAAGAAAATTCAAGAGCTTTGTCATGTAACAGAATGCAACGTAATTATTATGGTCCTTATGTCATTCTAGCGTGTGCGGCTGGGAAAAGTAATGAAGCATAAGATTCATACCTTCAAAAGCATGTGATATTTTCTTGACAGGAGATGGTGAATCGTCTTGGTAAAATGTTGAATCAAGAACAGAGACAGGACTTTGTTGCTCAGAGCTAGTTAATGTTGCTTTGACTTTTGTGCTGCTGCTGCTCAACATTATTTCTGCATTCTGAGAAAGTAAAAATGAAATATTTTAATCAGATAAGAACTCACTGAGACCAGTAAACTTCATTTAATTTACCAGCGCGAGCAGGTGAAACTGAAAACACTAACCCTTTGTTCGCATTCATCTCCATCCACCAGGACATAGTTGCTTCTGGTGTTATGAGTTTGCTTGTTGCTTGAATTTTTTGTATTAATGTTTGATGCAATTCCCTTGCTCTCAGGCTTCAGAGGGAGAACACTTCCTCGTTGATTCGTATCTCCAGGGGAGCATATGCTGCTTTTGCTTGATCTCTTGGTACTTTTCTGATTCGAAGTGGGAGATTTTTGCCTTGATTTTATTTCTGTGGAACATGATTCAACTTTTCTACCATTAATCCTTTCGGTCCTGCTGGATTCTGATGATGAGGTGGTCGGGCAAGATTGCTTCTCCAGCCCAAACTTTTTTTGTATTCTTGAGCTTGTAACTCTTGGACTGCTTACTGAGGCAGTTGAGATTTCTATGCGAAGATCTTTCGTCGACTTTGTTGATTTCGAAATCCTAGTGTTGGTATTTTTATCTGTAGAAAGTTGTGAATGACTAGGGAGGGACCTCAGATGAGCATGTTGTGGACCAATATCTTTTGTAGATTGCATTTTCACCTCTTCATTCCCATTCCTTGTGGTGTGATCGCCTGGTGCATCATGATTCAGTGGCACTGAGGGAGTGGAATTGCTGATTTTCCCCATGTGTTTAGCAGGTTTCATGATGATAATTGAGGATTTATGTGTCTTTGAAGAGTTAGAATCCTTGGCTCTGGCAGAAGAAACTGTGTTATCGAGCTGCGACTTCCTTGGGCTTGCTGCTCCCGAACTGTGACTCTGATCGATGGCTCCGTCCATGCTTATTTGCGATGCACAGTCTGATGCTTGTTCCTTGTTATCCAACATCGCTCGAGATTTTTGCATTGCTTCAAGTATCTGTTTTAGAGCTCTGAGGTCTTTTCCAGATTTTGTGAATTCCAGTGTTGACAGCCTTTTCTCAATTTCTCCATAAACAGAATAGGAGTTTGGCACATCTGTAGCAAGTTCATGACTTTCGAAAGCTGGTTCATTAAAATCTCCATTTCTACTTAGCTGGCTCTTCTGAGTTGTTTCCACCGTAAGCTTTGTATTGTTTTTCAAGCTGGGTGAACAAGAACCTCCATGAGAGATCCTTGGGGAACCAGAAAACCGGCTTTGTTGTGTGTTCTCCTCATTCTTCCTTGATGATTTTGACAAAGAATTTGGTTCATGGGTGGGGTAAATATTGATCAATCTTGCTGGACTATTGATGGTTGAAGTTGAACCTGGGAGATCTTCCAATCCCATTAACTTTGCGACGACCATAGACGATTGTCTCGAGCTTACTGGTTCTTGCTCGTAGTCATTTGTTTTGTCGAAATCCCTGTTGCCCTTCTTCAAATCCTTAACAAGATCATTTGATCTTGCTCCAGAAGCAGAACACTTAGCCCAGCTTTCTTTACTGTCCAGTGATAACCTTGGTAGTTCTCTGATCTTTATGGTTGATTTTAGTGCAGTATCACAAGATTCCCTTCCATCATAAGAGAGCCTTCGGTTGAATTTCGGTGCTGAATGTGTGGAAATGCCATTCTCTTCATTGGCATTTCTATGTGCTTCTCGTAACCTCGCAAGGACACGAAATGATTCATTCGATCCCAAAGTCTTGGAATCGTGGGACTCGACCAATCTCGATGGCCTCGGGGAGTCCACATGTGTAAACTTACGACTCACTGCTTCTTCTCCAGCCACTGTTCTGACTGAAATCCCACAAGCTTCTCTGTTTATGCTGTCTTTGACAATATCCCGGAACTCGAAAGACTGGCAGCTCAATTGCTTGGTAGCAGCATGATGCTGCTGGTTCTTGGGAAAATCGCCATGGCTGAACAATGTTGTCTCAAGGTGAGCTGCTCTGTTGTTAATATCAAGAGATGAAAAACTCGAAGAACAAGAAGTGGTAGACGAAAATGAGGTTCTGGATGACTCTGTGGAGACCCTCTGTTTCTCCCTCGCAGTCTTCTTCTGGTCCTTCCCCTGCAAATTGAACAGAACATGTAATTTACAAACAATGCCATCTTTCAAAACACAACCAAATTACTCCCAGCCCAATTCTTACCGAAGTTCTCTGTAAGCCACTGTTTGGTTCCATTGGGACGTCTCCATTTTCACCTGCCAAAGAAGTTCATCAGCAAAATCCCAAAAATTGCTTGGAAATACAGTGTTCATTAGGTAGAAGAACTGAAGTACCTGGCGATGGTGGGAGCTTCTTGCAGTGGCGGCCGGCCGAGCTCCGGGCGCCGAGGAAATAACGCCGGTCAAATATCTGAAAAATCCCATTCATGCACCCAATCTGCTTATGAAGGCCTTGATTTTCATCCGATAAGGAATAGGTAAGCCTTGCAGACATGTCTCTTCCTCCACCTCCCCTGTTATCTCTCTCACTGAACAATGCTTGGGGTTAAAATGGAAGAAACGTCACACATCAGAGAAAAGAGAAGTGAGAATGAAAGTGTGCAACTGCAAATTGGATTGGATGTGAAATGAAAGACAAAGGAAGAAACGGAAGCAGGAAACATTCAAAACCCAGAAGTCGTAAGGAGTCCCCACGTTTCCAAGAACTACAAAGTCCAAAACTTGGGGGAATGAGAAGCTCATAAGATATGGTTTGTTTTGGGTTTTGTTCACAGAACACGAAAAGACGACTGGTTTTTATCCTTTTGCTCTATCTTGGGAATGCAGCTGCAGAAGAGGGTAATTGAGATGCCTGTGGACTGTGGGGTGTGAGGTTTAAATGCAAGAAAACCACAGAAACCAGTTAAGCAGAGAATGATGCTCTGGTGACAGCCTTTTTGTCTACTCTCATTACATATAAGATTAAAGAAGAAAACACAGAGAGAAGATGAAAATTGGTGCCAAGAGAGGAAGAGAAGCTTGGTGGGTGTGGTGGGTCAGATCTGAAATGGAATTTTTTTCACAGAGTTTGATGTGGAGAAGATAATGGGGGCTGGTGGGTCAGAAGAATGGACCTCTCTTAGTCTCTACTTTGAGGTTTGAGCTGAGAGCATGTGGTGTCTGTCAGAAAAGAAAGAAAGAAAAAAAAAAGTGGAATGAAATTTATGAAAGTGGGATTTTATTTTTACAAAAGTGCTACCAAAAAAAGCCTTGCTTCAACTCTAATCTCTTCCTAACAATTATCGTCTTTTTTCAACCATTTTCCATCCACATCTCAAATGAATGGAAACAAGTGTGGAATATTTGGTTCCCTTTTTTAACAAGTCTACATTTATAAACCTTAGGTTGGGAAGTCTGAGTTTATATGCTTCATATTTCCATTATACAAAGTAGCAAATCATCTCAACTTTAATTTGTGTAATCTATAATTGGTTTACAGGATCGTAATTTGCGAAAAGTTTAGTATATTTATTTTTGTACTTTACTTTTTAACTTCGGTTTATTTTAGTTTCTGTATTTTTTAAATGTTCATTTTGAACTTGTAAGTTTAAAAAGTGACTAATTGGTCTAACATGACACTTTATTCGTTGCCATAAATTTATATCAAATGTATAAAACTTTTGTTAGAATTTTGAAAATATAGAAAAAATTTATCACTTTTTTTTAAAGTCCAGATAACAGATAGAACGTTTTAAAAGGAGAGGAACTAAAATAAATAAATATTACTTTAGATTTTCAAAAAACTGATAGGGGCTAGTGAGCCAAGTACCCTCTTGAAAAGCTTTTAGAGGGATAATTTCCATATTTTATATAATTTGTTTAGTTTTTGTCCTTTAAAAAAAAAAAAGAAAAGAAAAATTGTATGGACCAGATCTGTAACATTAATAAATATATTTGAACAGGTCCATTTATCTTAAACTATTCTATTTTTTCTCATTCTTTTTAACCTGAAAGAGAGATGTTTGCAAATTTTCTCACACTCTTTACTTTGAATGGCCAAATCTTGACAGCTAAGCAACTTAGAATCCTGTAATATCCACAACACTTTTACTTATTTATTTATTATTATTATTTTGATAAAAATCCACAATCACTTTATGGTCGGTAAAACCATGTGTTATGTATTCTCTTTACCGTTTGTGTCACAACACAACACATCATTATAATTATTATCAATTGTTAATCAAACATTTCTTTCCTAATCTTTTTTTTACTTAAAAAAAAACCTAATCATTCCGCCCTTTGTAAATCCTTTCGTGTTCAATAGGAGCRGTTGCTATAACATCATTACAACCTTGGATTGGGTTTTAAAATCTCATTATACTATACGGTTAAAGAGAAATATAAAACAATTTATAATTCATATATGTGTGGGGTAATTGACACATGTCTCTCATCAATAAGTTACTTCATTTTTTGTACTAAATAAAAAAATAATTTAAAGCTTAACAAAAATTAACCAAACAAAACATTGCATATACGTATTGTAATTTATTTATATTAAAAACATTTTAGTTCTATTCTTTTTTTTTAAGGAACATTTTAGTTTGCTGTTCTAATTATATTTTAATTTTATTGAGTGGAATTAAATGTAACAAAAAGTTGAAGTGGTTGACGAGATCCTTCGATCATGAACAATTTTTTGTTTTCTTTTTCAACATTCATTAAGGGTAGAGATTAATCGAGTTGATTATATAGATAAAATTTAAACGATTTGAAATAGAGACAAAAATTAATTGTGATTGTGATGAATATTTAGGTATTTAAAGTAGATGTGACATATTATCATACTCCACTGTCATAATTAAGCTCACCCCCATGTAGCTCTTACTTTTCCATAAAAACTTTAACCCATTGCCAAAAAAAAACTTCACTTTTCTTATTTTGTAAACCTACAGAAAATAGGTGTAATCAAGTTTATAAATATAGATTCATTAAGATAGATAATCGTATCTATATTTTTATAATGGTATTAATATATTATCTAATTTAAGTTCAAAACCCACRTAATTTTTATGTCAACAAAACGAGCATAACTCAACGATAATTGACATATATCTCCAATCGAGAGGTTGTGAGTTCAATCCCCCACCTCCACATATTGTACTAAAATAAAAATTTTGAAAGATACAAATATCAAAATAAACAAAATTTAAAAGTACAAGAGACCAAAATAAACCAAAGCAAAAGAAACACCGGGATCAAAAAGGATTTAAGCTATAAAAATTTATGATTTCCATCTTTACTTAACTATATATATATATATATATATATATTCTCAATTAATTTCTAATTGATATGAGATTTTATACATTCGCATGGGAACAAAAACATATGCATGTGAATCCAACAAAAGCTTCTTCATAGATTGAAATTAGATTGAGGAAAAAATTATAAAAGTTTCAATAATGTAGCATTATTATGGAACCCTAAATAATGCATCAAAATGAAATCTTCCAAGAACCTACTGTGGGCTGCGGTACCATCCATTTTCAGGGGGAGAGAATAATTAATACATATCCAGACAATACCATATTAAAATATCTATCGATATATTGATATTTTCATCAACATTTTTATGGATTCGACATTGACACAAGAAGTCAATCGACATTTTCATACTATTGTAAAAAAATTGATAAAATATCACTAACCAATGTAGACATTATATTAACAATAAAAGTTTTTAGTTTATTTAAAAGAGTGAAATAYTTATTTSTTAATTTAAATATTTTTATAATTTTTTCAGAAATATCTATCGATATATATCGACGGATTATCAATATTAGCATAGACATTTTCATAAAATTGAAATATTAATTCTATCGACATCAACATTTAAAATCTTGGAGATGTCTTAATTTTCTTTAGTTCTTTTTTCTTAAGAAAAAAAAAACTATTAATAAAGTTATATACCATATAAGGATTTCAAAAAAGAAAGATGCTTGATGAATCAATCAGAAGGTTTTTAATCTTATGGATATTTAAATATATTTTTATTTGTATAAAGATTGATTGTAGCTCCTTTGTGGTTGAATTTTTATAGTGAGTTTGAAGTTTATTGTCATACATTTTTCAAAAAGTTTTGAGACTTTGGAAATTAGGAAATAAAATTAAAAAAAAATTAGAACAAAAACTGATCAATTATAGATATATAAAAAACCTTTAACAAATCTCCCTCTCTCATGTAGCATGTGAGTTGTGAGAGAAAATGGTGGCATAGAGAAGTACAAGCAAAGGACATCCAACCAATAGGCCACTTTCTATTATTTATTTTCTTTTCAAGTATTAGGTTTTATTATTATTGTGAGAGGGGGAAATGGGAATTAAAAAAATACTATGTAAAAGGTGTACTAAAAAAAAAAAGAAAGAAAGAAAAGACTATGTAAAAGGGTTTTAAGGTAAGAACTAAGTTCATTGAAAATGACATTGAAATTCTTTTTTCCATAACTAAAAATTTACCTTTTACGCATTTGCCCATATTATAAGATGTTGCGTCTTTTAAACATTCAAAAATTTTATTTGATTCTTGATAAAAAGAATTGGTGTCAATTGACATGTGAGCCATTTGGAGATTTTTAATATATATATTTTGTTAGTACAATATGCGGAGTGGAGATCGAACTCACACCCACCTAATTAAAAATGCATGTCAATTACTGCTGAGTTATATTGCTCGCTTTGACATAAATATTTTGAATATTGAACTGTGGGCCAATACCTTAATTTTGACATATAGTCTATAATTCATGCTTTGACTGCATGAAAAAAATAATAAACCTATTGTCATTAGAGATCATGATCCGTATAAATTAGCATTTTTCATAGGTTTTGTAACTATATGGAGAAAGTTTCTTGTAACACTTAAAGTTAATCCCACGTTGATTGATTTGTCCTAAATTACAAATATGTACATCTCACCAAACTACCACAAACTCGTAAAAGAAGAAAAAAGACAATCACTGGGCAGATCCTATGGTTATCAACTACATCTTAGACAATCAACACCAAGATTATAAAGCATTCAAAAAGCCGTTACAAAGCTTATGTAAATGTCACAACGTTATATTATTATATATAAACATTGGATGAGTTTAGATAATATATGTATTAGGTATATAAATGATAAAAAAGGATATATGATGTTGATGGTTTTGAAATGGAGGGAGAATTTGGGAAAGAGGGGATGCAAAACCACATGGAAAAAGTGAAGGCATCACATGACATATGAGTGATTCCCTTAACAAATTCAAAAGTTTCAACACAAAGGGCAGAGACCAAACTTAGGCATCTCCATCATTCTTCACCACCTTCCAACTTGGCATCATCACCCATTGTACAGTCCATCACCACATGATCTGCCACACACCAAAATCCACCATGTGATTTTCCATTAATCACCTTCTTAAGTCAACAAATTTAATTATCATCATCATCAAATCATACCCACTTTTAATTATTACACCATTTAATCAACCTAACCTATATAAATGTAACGCCTTTATAAAGCATTGGTATATTGTCATTTTTGACTAAAAGGTTGTAAGTTCGAATTTTCACTCTTGCATGTTGTAAAAAAAACAAACAAACAATTCTTTATCATTAAATTAATGTGGGTATTTTATAATTTAGTTACTTATTCAATAAGATTCAATAGTTATATATTGAGTATCATGCTTATAAAAAAAATCAATTCCTAGCTACTATCTCTTTTTGTAATTATAGTATTAAATTATTCTATTGGATGATGTAAAATTTCTTGGGTTTAGATTCTAAGAAGTTTCATAAATTATATTGGGGGTTTGGGATTGTGTGACCCACAAAACTAGGGATAGTCTCTCATTTGCATATTCAATGATTGTGGGATAAAGTCAAGAGATTCCATCTTATCCTTTTTTCACACATGAGAGGTGGTATGGCTTTTTTAAGATTTTATGGATCTCAAACTTAGGGGTCCTAATTAAGTTTATTTTATAATATGATTGTGTTAAGAAAACTTTTGCATGAAAAAATAAATATTTTGTGTTGATTAAGACTTTATAAAGAAAATGATATATGTTTTAAACTATATGTAATAATCCATTGGATGAAGAATATCCCATTAAATGTTTAGAGATAGCTTTTGAAGGGCATTACAAAAACTTAAGGGCCAATCTCCCCCACTTGGTATAAAATCTCAAAATAGTTTTGTATTTTATTGAGCACATGATCAAACTTATAGAACAAATTTGGAACCTTCTTAAAAAAAAAAAAAACAATGTGCCTTTTTTTTCCTTGTATTTTTATGTTCAATTTGGAAAAAGAAAGAAGGAAAAGCTAGTCTTTTG